TGAAAGATCCAGTAAAAGGTACTAGCTCCCAGTTTCAGACCAGCTCAGCTACAGCCTCTGCAGCATTTAGAGTATGGAACCGTAGACGGAAAATCTCTTATTCTGCCTCTGTCTCTGTAACTGATCAAACAAAACAAAACAAACAAGCAACAGCAAAAAAAAAAAAAAAAAAAAAAAAAAAAAAAAAAACTTGGCTTTCTTTTCCTTTGGAAAAAAAGCATATAAACCTTAAAAAGAATTACAGTGATTACAAAATGCAGCTCCTATATGTAAATTTTGTTAAAAGCATCATGGAGTGCAATCTCTTTACCAGCAAAACTAATTTCACCCACTGTCTATTGCTAGGGTCAACAGACTGCTTTGCCCATACGGAACACAAATTAATTAAGAAGGAATGGTAGTGTTTTCCTGTGTGGTGTCTCCCTAAGTTTGGACATCCATGAAGGCAGTATATATACTTCATTTTTAAAACCTCACAATTTGGTACACATGTTGAAGAACTGCTTTATTGAATGGGCTCCTTTGTAAAGATGAAAACTACTCAGAATTAGAGAGACTTTCTGTTAAAAATTAATTGCACAAGGAAAAAGAATGATATAAACAGAAAACATAACAAACATGGGAAATAGGGCCTCATGCGGTGGCCTAGCGGCTAAAGCCATATCGGCACTGGTTCGTACCCCAGCAGCCCCTCTTCCCACCATGCTTGTGCCCTGAGAAAGCAGTTGAGGATGGCCCAAAGCATTGGAACTCTTCACCCACATGGGAGACCCAGAAGAGGATCCAGGTTCCTGGCTTGGATTAGCTCAGCTCTGGCCATTGCAGCCACTTGGGCAATGAATCATCAAAAAGATCTTTCTCTCTGTCTCTCCTATCTGTATATCTGCCTTGCCAATAAAAAATAAATAAATCTTGAAAAAAATCTTGGGAAATATATGCTCCAAATCAATTACAAAGAAGTGGGCCCAGCACTGTGGCCTAGCAGCTAAAGTCCTCGCCTTGAACGCGCCAGGATCCCATATGGGCACTGGTTCTAATCCAGGCAGCTCCACTTCCCATCCAGCTCCCTGCTTGTGCCCTGGGAAAGCAGTCGAGGACAGCCCAAAGCCTTGGGACCCTGCACTCATGTGGGAGACCTGGAAGAAGTTCCTGGTTCCCGGCATCAGATCGGCGCAGCACCGGCCGTTGCAGCTCACTTGAGGAATGAAATCAGACGGAAGGTCTGTCTCTCCTCCTCTCTGTATATCTGACTTTGTAATAAAAATAAATATTTTTTAAAAAATCACAAAGAACTAATTTTACATACCTAAATTTTAAGTTATAAACACAAACTTAAGAGAATCAAGATGGTTGAATAGCATAAGGACACAGTTAAACAGATGAAGACTCATTAGCGAGGTTGAAGCAAAGAGTAGATTCCAGGAAACAGAAGACAGACTGATGACAGAGAAGCACCTGAAGACTGCCGGAGCAGCGGGAGACAACGGAGTGGTATTGCAGTGATCAGCTACTCCAGTGGCAGTTAGCACGTGAGGATCTGAGCTCTACCAGTGGCCAGAGCTCCACTAACAACCAGGTGGGAAGGGGAGTTCAACAGGAGTTCAGTACATAAACCAAGGCAAAGAACTGCCTGTCCTGCTGATTTCTGTGATCTGACCAGGAGCAGGAAGAGCAGTACCACAAGCAGGCGGTGCAAGAGCAGGGTGGACTTTACAGCCCAGACTTGACCAGTGCCACATCGTGTGCCATTCTGTGTATTGAGTAAAGGCTGTGGGACAGGAAGGACAACAGCACTAGTTGCATGCACGCACTAGACAGGGAGCAAACTCATTTCCGGCTCAGTGCATTGAACTGCTCATGCAGGGGAAACTACCAACATGACTTCCTACAGGTTCCTCAAAATAGGTCCAGGTAGCCCCCAGAACTAACGGCCAGTAGATCTAGAACTCCAACGGTGCCACGTCAGGCACCATCTTGCACAGTGTGGCAAAGGCTTTGAGACTGTAGGGACAACACTGAGCTGGGAGTGAACACATTGAGTTCAGTGTGTTGCACAGGTCCACGGGGAAAATAATACTGACTTTGGCATCCTAAAGGTCCCACCCAAAACGAGCCTTGGTGGCCTTCAGATCTAATAGCCAGCAGTTTCCAGCAAGATCAGCACCACCAACATTCCAATTATTTAGGACACCTGGTGTCTCCTGAGAACTACTCTAAATGAAAGTGCAAGAAAGGTTGCACAGACAATGGTGCAGCCGCAGCACAAGATCACAGGACGTAGAGATGAGCCAGGAACTGAGGCTTCAGAGACCATGGTGAAAGACTTAGCACAAGAGCCCAGGCCTGAAATTTGCCAGAGGGAGTGGCCCAAGACTACAAAATGAAGAAATGAGTACCAACCACAGTAAGTAAAATTGAACTGTAGACCAGTGAGTGACACAACTTAGAAACCTGCCCTAAGGAGAAGAGCCTGCTAACCAGAGGTACAATGACTAAGAGGAGAACAGAGGCACATGAATATTATTGAAGACTTCCCCTGCAAAGGAGCAAAACCATTCCCAACCTCAGAGGTAACTACTGAGGAATACAACGAGAAAATGGGGAATACAGAATTCAAAACACTTGGTATAAAGCTTCTTATCAGTAAGAAGCACGTGCAGGAATTTAAGAAATATATCACACAAGAAATAGCAACACTGAAACAAAATGAAGCACAATCATTAGAAATGAAGGATGCAATGGAACAAGTTAAAAATACGGTGGAGAGTCTCAATAACAGCACGAATGAGGCAGAAGAAGGAATCTCAGAATTGGAAGATATTTCTTGCCACAATGGGGAAACAATCAAAAGCTGGAAGCAGAGCTGGATCAAGCTTAAAAAAAATTATTCAAGAATTAAAAGATAATATTAAAACGGCAAATTATAAGTTATGGGACTTCCAGAAGGCACAGAAAGAGGAGCTGGGTTTAAAGATGCATTCAATGAAATAATAAATGATAATTGCCCCAATATGGAGAAAGAATTGGGAAAAAATATCCAGGAGGCGCACAGAACTCCCAACAGGGTTGACTAATAGTGATCTTCACCACAACACATGATAATCAAGCTCTCTTCAGTCTAACATGAGGAAAAGATCCTTAACTGTGCTTGTGAAAAAAAAAAATCAATTGACCTATAGAGGAACTACAATCAGACTCACTGCTGACCTCTCGGAGCAAACTCTACAGGCCAGAAGAGAATGGAATGACATATTCCACATTCTAAAACCAAAGAAGAAAAGGAAAAAAGGAAAAATATTATTGGCCTAGGATAACGTATACAGTAAAGCTTTCCTTTTTCCACAGTAAAAAAAAAAACCTCAAGGAATACACCTCTTCCAGACCTGCCCTACAAATGAAACAAGATGTTCTCTTGATAGAGAAAAGGAATAACACTGACAAAAGCCCAAGGCAAGTGCAGAGAACATCCCAGTGAAATAACAGCAGAAGACTAAATCAAACAATGAATAACCCCTTGCAAAATCACAAGACCAAATTACCACCTATTCACACTTACCCTGTATGTAAATGGTTAAACTCATCACCCAAATGTTATAGATCAGTGAACTGAATCAAAGAACAAAATCCATCTAATGTCGACAACAGGAGACACATCTCACCAAAAAAGATCAGCAGAAACTATCTCACAGATTTCTTCAATGTTTTGGTTTTTACTTTCATGTCTTCAAAACAGCTTTTCTCATATTAAATTCTTCACTGACTCACAGGTCATACAGTAACATCATTTTCTTCAGGAAGGTTCTTGATTTGTTTTTTATTTCTTCAGCTACATTCACTATTCAGTAGCATGTTGTTTAAATTCATAGTGTTGTAAATTTCTATTTTTCTTCCTGTTGTTGATTTTGTTTTGTGGCTTTTCATTTAAGTGGGTATATACTAACTTGGTAGTAGAGACTATCATATCCAGATGTGAGGACACAATGCATCTCTACTTCCAGATCAAAGTGGACTCCCAATGAAGCTGTTAACTATACCTTGACAATAGGATGCTAGACTCTCTACTACTGTCCATGCCAGCAATGTCAGGATACACTTAAATAGCAGAATGATGAACTTGTGACTATTTATGAAGAACTATGCCATTGTAATAATTCAGGTGAAATCAGTAGGGGGCAGAGGAGAGGACTTGAAGATGGGGAAAAGAAATCCCCAGAGTCTATAGAACTGTATTATAAAATAATTTTAAGAAAATGAAAAAAACTTAAGAAATAAAAAATATTAAGACATTTAAAGAACAAAATTAGCGTATCTTAAATATGAAAAAGGAATCGCAATATCACTCTCAAGAAATCAGGCCCTTCCTCAAAATTTGTAAAAATTTAAGTTTATTTCAGTGCAAAAATACTGTTTTCATAATATGTGAAAAATGCACATTATAAAAAAAATACATGGATTTCAAAATGTATATGAAGTATATGAAGTAAAAGAAACACACTTTAATCATTTTACGTGAATTCTTGAAAGTACCCTCATATGGATTAATAAAACCATGGAGATAACTCTTTTTTGCTGTTTTTATAAACCTGCTAAAAGAGAAAAACTCATAAAGTTGATAATACACTAACACAGCTGGGAGTGGGCGGGTGGAGAAGGGGAAGATACAAACTTCTCTCCTAAACAGCAATGTGGTAATATCCATAAATACCATACATATAACACCTGAAATTTCTGCGAATTTCACTTACAAAAATACTTAAATCCAAGCAAAATAGTATTTATTAAAGTTTATTCTTCAAAGCATTATTAATACTAGCAAAGAATTCAAATTTTAATGAAGAAGCAGGCTGATAAAGTTCTATAAAATAGAAAATTATGGAAATATTAAAAGAAAGGGATATACCCATTTAATGACATACACATAGCCAATTGAAAATGTTCTAATCTTCCAAATATATTAACTTAAAACTTACAAATAGCTACTAAATCCTCTGTAGTCTTACCTGCAATGAAGCCACGTAAGAATCATCACAATTCACATAATGTCCTAATATGGCATGCTGGGCCCGTAATTCATTATCCCTTATCCTCTCATGTAGGTGAGTAATTTGTTGCTTCTGTCTGCAAAACATAAATTGATGTTATATCATAAACAATAGACTTTTCTAGGTGACAGTTAAAAGCAGAACTTCCAGTATTCCAAAAATTTACACAACAGTATCTTATACAACTGTAAAATCATTTTAAGGAAATTATCAGAGGAAGTTACAGGAATATGAGACATGTGGAACTACAGATAAGAGTTTATTCTGTAGAGTACTCTGGCAATTAGTACAATGCAGTCTTTTGCAGAATCACCTCTTTAGTTTCTAATAAGTCATGCTTTGTTTTCTTTTTGTTATCTAACACATTAAGGTTTTTTTTTTCCTTAATGTAAAATGTCATTACCTTAAACATCATTAGTTCTATTCATCCAAATTCTGTCTAACATTCTATACCAACTGAAGCATTTATGACTCTCATTGCCAACAGGAAAAGGTGTTTTATAAAGATCAAGTAGCCAAATAGCTATTGTAAACATGCATTACCTCTATAATATCCCAGTTCTATTGTTTTAGATATTACATATTACTATATTTGAAACATAAGTTGTAGTTGAAACAAACATCACCAATGGACGAAACACAACAGACTTGCATTTTGGGGTGGCTCTGACATTTCGTTCACCAACATAATCTCAAGCTGCAACCAGACACACAACTTCAAATCTTCTTCTTCAGGACTTCATTTAAGCAAGTTATTTAATTTAGTAAATTTGCAACCTTATATATTTTAAACTGTTACATGTCAGGTATGATGCTAAGAGCTCTGCCATCTTCAAAAACTAATACCAAGTCTCATGATAACATTGTAAGGACAAACAAACAAAAATCTTGGCTCAACTAGCTAATCTTTCAGCTCCAAGCATGGCATCCCATAGGGGCATCCTATGGCACCCACAGTGTCCTAGCTGTTTCACTTTGCATCCATCTCCCTGCCTAAGGCCTGGGGCAATAGCAGAGCATGGCCCAAAGCCTTGGGATTCTGCACCCACACGTGGGAGATGTGGAAGAAGCTCCTGGCTCCTGGCTTTGGGTCAACTTCTCCAGCTGTGGTGGAAAGCTCTTTCTCTCTTTGTCTCTGTAAATCTGCCTTTCCAATAAAAATAAGTGTATCGTAAAAAAAGAAGAAATAACAGGGGTATCGCTAAGCAAATAGCTTGCTGTTATCTGAAACTGCTAACAAAGTTAATTTTTCTAACTAGCAAGATTATATTTTGGACTGCATTTCAGAACTTGTTCCACTCACTTTCATCTTTTTAAAAATCATTATTCTTTGAGAAAATTCAGAGAGAAATATAAAAAGCAAAATGAGCAATCTAAAAAGTCCTTCTCCAGGCAATTAAGAACAGTGGTCTTTGCAAGATAGGCAAAAATTGAGGCAATCCCTCAACTGCCCGAGTATACGGTTAGAAATGATCAAGCTGCAGCTCAGGACAGTAGCCTCTCTGAAGAGAAAAAGGTGGGCATCTGTAGACACTCAGGTAGTAACGGTTCAAACTGCCAAGTCACCCCTGAGCGGTCAGGTAAACACTAATTAATGCATATGTGAGAAAGCTAATTTGCATATAACTAATGAACTAATTGATGCATATGTGAGGTTTAGGGGAAGGAGGACAACCAAACAGTTTAGAAGGAACAGTGTGTACGGTTCACTTGGGGTCTAGAGAACTGCTTGTTCCCAATCACCACTATGTACAGATTCATGATTCATCAGACAGCAGTTATGGTCAACTGGGCAAAAACTGCTGCACAGAACAAAGCTCAGGAATACAGCAATATGTAATATCTGAAACTAGTTAAAACTCATATGACATCGAATCAAAAATTACTGAAAATATAAAGCAAAAACATAAAATTCATAGTAAGAAAAACCAATTAACTGAAAGAGAGCTGACACGAATTGTACAAGTAATAGACAAGTACATTAAGTCAGTCATACGTATATCCATATGTCCAAGAAGTTAGAAGAAAGTGGTCGTAGTAACTCAAGACATAGAAGACAAACAACAAACTGAATGGGACTGAGAGCAGATTAAGACAATGCAGAAAAGATAAGTGAAACTGAATATACCGTTATGGAAACAAATAAAAAAGTACTCATAGGAAAAGATAAGCAAATGAAAAATGAAACATCAATGAGCTGTAGGACTGTCATCAGGAGACAAATAAATGTATAATGAGAGTCCCCGAAGAGGAGGTATAAAGAGACATGCAGGGGAAAAACGTGTAGCTAATGTGTTTGAGCTTCTCAGAATCAGGAAGTCCTGAGAACCCCAAACACAAGTAACATAAAGGTACACTGTCATCAATAAATTAACCCAGCATATACTGTTAAAATCAGAAAAGCAGTCAGAAGGGCAAAAGATTAATTCATTTTAGAGACAAAGGTAAAGAAGACCTTACATTTGTAATTCAAATTATAATGCAAGTGAAAAGACTGAATCTAGACTTTTCTAATTAATGAATATTGAAACACAAAACAAAAACCCATTTGCCATTTTCTAATGTTAGCTTAGGGAAAGAATCTTTTAATCCTGATCATTCATTGTCAGTATAGGTAACATACTACCTAAAGCAGGAAACAGAAAATTCCAATAATGGGTCATACTAAAGTTGTATAGGAAGACCTCAGAAATTAGTTAAGCCAACCAGGTAAGCCACAGTTCTTACAAGGACTGGAGTTGGAAAGGTGTTGCTGCCCTGTAGTGACACTAAAATGACGAGGAATCTCGAGGGCCAGGAACCGCCACCGCAACCAGCACACACACACTGAACGAACACACGAACACACACACAAACAAACAAGCAAACAAGAAAGGAGAGACAACGAAAAAGGGGGTTTATCGCCAAAAGTGGGCTGCTTATATACAGTTGTCCACCAATCACTTCTCCCCATGGGTCCACTGGGCGCTACCTGACAGGCCGGTAGCAATGACATAATCACTAGCCTATCCCTGTGACTTCCTGTTTACCTGCTGGTGGGACAAGTCCACCAATCACTTCTCCCCATGGGTTCACTGGGCGCTACCTGATAGGCCGGTAGCAATGACATAATCACTAGCCTATCCCTGTGACTTCCTGTTTACCTGCTGGCAGGACAAATCCCACCTCCTGGCCCTCAGCCAGGCGCCATCTTGCAGTGGTCCCTCATACACGTGGGGTCAGCCGCTCCCCACAGAAAGGGGCAGACACAGAGTTTTAACAACACAGTTTTAAGATTCTAGACTTCTGCCTTTCATTCTTAAAAGCCAGGCTACAGATACACACAGACAGCTTCCATCTGCTGGTTCTCCCAGTTGAGAGGAGGCTAGGCTCAACCCAGGTTCCCACCCGGCTGGCTTGAGTCATTACCTGCTGCCTCTCAGCATGCACACTAGGGCAGGAAGCTGGAACAGGAGCAAAGCAGGCAATAAAACTTAGGCACTCTGAGGTGGGATGCCAGTATCTTAACCACTGACCCAAAGGCCCCCCTAAGGAGCACAGTTCTTAAAGTCTAAGAAGAGGATGCAAAAATATTTATTTCATTAAGCTTTATTTCCATACAATTCAAGTATCTAGTGATTTTTCAAAAAGACTCACCGATCAATTACAATTTCTTTTTGCCTTAGAAGTCCTTCTTTTATTTTCAGCACTGATTCCCACTTACTGAAATCTTGATAGTCAGAAGGTGAGTAACTTTGATGAGATGATCCAGTCAAAACCTGCACAAACATATTTAATGTTATTAATATAATAAACATGTCAGTTGGGAAAACATATGCTATCTAACAGTTCCCAATGATTAAAAAATGGAGTCAACAAACTTTTTTAAATATCGGTGTCAACAGTTCAATTGTGTTTCCTCAAAAAGACATGCTGAAATTCTAACAATTAGTCCCTTGGAAAGCTGACATCATTTGGTTACGGGACCTTTGCGCATGTAAGCGAAGTGAAAGGAGGTGGTTGAGGTGTGTTCTATTGCAAAGAGGGAAAACGATGTGACAAGTTATAGGGGGACCATCACAGAAGGATGAAAGCAGAGAGCAGAGTGATGTATGTAAAAGCGAAGGCACAATGAACACTGCCCACAATACACCAAAAGCTAAGGAAGAGGCCTAGGACAAATTCTTCATAGCACTCAGAGGAACTGACTGCTGATGCTTTGATGGCCAGCTTGTGCAACTGTGAGGTACCACGTCTGTGGTGACAAAGATGGTGGAACTTTTGTTATGCATAGTTTTTTTCACAGCTTTTCCTTGAATATTTAATAGAAACTTTATTTTTAATGATGATGGCATAGTTGGTAAGAGTGGAAAGGTCTAGGATTAGGGGAAAGTGGGTGAGACCATTGCTTCCAAATTTTCTTTTTCTTCTTCCTATGTCTTAAGGGAAGGGGAGAGATAGGTGGGGAAGCTGCACCCAGACTCCTAACCACACCTCAGTACCCCGGCATGGGAATGGCCATCCACTCGATGTCACCCCCAACATGGAGCATGTTGGGAGGTTTATTTATGCAGCATAATTCTGACATGCTGTCAATCTCGCTGATCCAAGGATGAGAAAATCTTTCCAAAGTCCACTGGTTGACATTTGCCCAGAAATTTGCTATCACTACACCGCTAGGGTAGTTGACCAATTTGTTCTGTCCTCCTTCCTCTGCACTGTACCAGGTGTCCTCTGCAGGCCCAATGGACTGCCATATCCTCCAAGTGCATCTGGGTATTCTCCATCCAAGCCACTGAGGAAGCTCAATTCTGACACATGCACTACCCTTCAGGCCACAGATCCCATAATTTTCCCCACAGTTGGAGTTCTGAGTCTAGCAGTTCAGTTGGGGGGAATCCCCACAGAAACTTTGTCTGATATGATCCCAGATATGACTCATGTATGGCCAGTATGGAGTCTAGCTTAGTCCATCGCAAACATTAACCTATGCACACCCTCTAAACCTGGACACAGATATCTCAACTGCAATGTATGCATTGGCCAAAATGTTGGCCTGGACTTTGCATGTATTTTAAATGCTTATTTACTCATTTTTAGTAACTATACATGCAGAATGGCAGTTACAGAGAGAAAGAGAGCAAGCTTTAATCCACTGGTTTAATTCCCAAATGCCTGCAACAGCTGGGGCTGGGAAAGGTTGAAGACAGGAGCCAGCTACTTCATCCAGGTGTAACAACTGCGTGTCAGGGACTCATCTACTTGAGAGCCATCACCTGCTCTCTCTGAGGTGCATTAGTGAATCTATAACGACCATATTTAAAGAAATAATTTACTTAGGGTAAATATAATGATTGAATTTAAAATATCACTATCATTTAGTATCACTGAAATTAACACACTTCTAATTTTAAAAAAGTGGGGGGAGCTGCATACATGAAAGCTAAAACAGCAATATTCATGAAAAGAAAAGAGTGCTGCTATCTGCTGGTCCCCTCCCCAAGCACTCATAACAGTGCAAGCAGCCCGAGATCCAGAAACACACTGCACGTTGCACACGTGGGTGGCAGGAACCCAGCTACTTGGCCATCATGCCAACTCTAAGATCTTAAGCTCTTATTGTTAGGCAAGGTATTTTAAGATATCTTAAGATAATTAGAACATATACCCAAAGACTGCAGATGCAAGAAAATAAGAATATAAACAGAAATTAATAGATTAAAAGAGAAAAACAGTGAAAAATGACAAATGTAAAAAATTAGTTGTGAAGATTAAATTGGCACATTTTTAGACTGAGGGAAAAAATGAAAATGAGAGTCACCAGTATCAAGGACAAAATAGAAGGTCAAAGAAGAATTAAATACATCAAAGGAGATATTACAACAAATACCACAGAAATAAAAAGAATCAACAGGAACTACTACAAAAAGCTATATGTCAACATTGGAAAATCCAGAAGAAATGGAAAGATACCTGGGCATATGTGCCCTACCAAGATTGAGTCAGGAAAACACAGAAATTTAAACAGACCAACAATCAAGACAAAGATCAAATCAGTAATACTCTCCCAACAAACATAAGCTAGACCATATGACTTCCCTGCTGGATTCCACCAAACTTCTCAAGAACAACAAATTCCAATTCTTCTCAAACTATGAATAGCAACTGCAAGAGGAAATGCTCCCAAAGTCTATGAGGCTAGTATCACCTGAATTTCGAAACTAGACAAAAATAAAGGCAACTATAGACCAATAACCCTGATGTACACAGATGTAAAAATCCTCCACAAAATACCAGCAAATCAAATCCAACAACTTAACAGGAAAAAAAAAATAATCACTCGGACCATGTGGGATTTATCCTATAGATGTGCAAGGATGGTTCAACATGTGAGTCAATAAATGCGATATGTCACATTAATAAATTAAGAATAAAAAAGTATGATGATCTCAATAGATGCAGAGAAAGCAGTTGATAAAATATAACATCCTTTCATGATAAAATTAAAAACCTTAAGCAAACTGGGTATTGAAGGAATATTCCTTAACACAATCATGGCAGTGTAAGACAAACCCAAAGCTAACACAATACTGAACGGGGAAAGTTGCAAGCATTTCCAGCAATATCCGGAAGTAAACAAGGACATCACTGTCTCTACAGCTGTTCAATACAGTCCTACAAGTTTTACCCAGAGACCTTAGACAAAAAAGAGAAATCAAAGGTATACAAATTGAAAAAGAGGAAGTCAAACACTTCTCTGATAGTAAATCCAGACAACATACTAGAAGAGACCTTGACAAACAATCGTCATTAACAAATTTAAAAATAAACTAATTTATATATCACAGAAATACATATAATAAAGCATTAGGCTCATCCTAGAAATACAAACTTAACACATTAATAAGGTAATTAAAAGTTAAAACTAGACATAACTTTAGTGAGGTTATGTGAATCAAGGTTATTATTCTAAAATCAATCATACTTCTACATACTAGCAATAAAAATTGTAGACAAAACGTCATTATCAAAAATACTTAAAAATTTAAAAGATTATGTTGAAAAGCTGTACAATAAAAATTATGTGTAAAGCATCACTAAGAAATGACAGAAATCCTTTAAAAGGAGAAATTTACTTCAGCACTGTTATCAATTGTCCCTACATTTATTTATAGAGTAAATCAATTCCAATCAATTCCAGCAAATCTTTCTTTCAAAGATGGCAAGCCAATTCTAAACTCTGTATGGAAATACAGATAACATATACTACTCGAATTCAAGACCTACTATACCAAATATTCCTAATAATTGTGGTGACAGAAAGACAAATGAGACAAAGATTCACAAATACACTAGTGCACAAATGGTTAATTTATTTTCATACAAGAGCAGAGGTAGTTAAATGATTTTGGTATTTGCACAAAGATATGCAGGCCAATGTATACTCACAATCATCCAAAATTAAAAACTCCACAGACACAATAACTGCTAAATGGATAAACAATCTGTGCTACATTCATAAAGAACCTACTGAGCAATAGAAGCACACTGCTGGCACATTCAATAACGTGGATGACTCCCAAAGCATGATGTTAAGTAAATAGCCATACTCAAATGTTACATACTATCTGTCGCTGCTTACAAAACTTCTAGAAAAGGTAAAACTACAGAAACAGGAAACGGATTAAGAGTTTCCAGGATTGGGTTAGAGGACTGCCTACGAAGAGGCAAAAGGTAACTTTTCGTAGTGATGGAAATGTGTACAATGGCTGGTATGATAACATAACTATTTTCACTTCAAGATTCCAACAACACATTTTTAAAAGTTTAATCCCGTGTGTGTGTGTTTAACCCCAGAAAAAAATGAAATCCTTTTCTCTAAAATCAACAAGACAGATATCCACTCTCAACACCCTTATTAAATATGCCAGACAAGGGAAAGAAATAAAGGACAGTCCAATGAGAACGGATTAAATTATCCCTGTTTGAAAATGACATGATTTTTATAAGCAGAAAAACCTAAAGACTCCATCAAAGGCCTGTCAGAACTGATAAAATCAGTAAAGCAGGACACAAAAATAAACATAAAAATAATTGCATTTTATATACCAATAATGAAATATCTGAGAAATAAGTCATGAAAGCAATCCTATACAAAACATCTAAACATATGCATAAATACACACATGCATACATATCTTGGAATAAATTTAACCAAGAAAGTGATTTACTTCTGCCATGAAAATTATAAAACACTGATGAAAGAAAATAAATAGGCCATGTATTGACAGATAGAGATATCACATGTTCATGGACTAGGAAAGTAGTGTTAATATGCTTATACTACCCAAGACAAATCTGTAGGTTCAATGCAATATCTACCAAAATGCCATGGACAGAGGACTAGCATAGTGCCACAGCAAACTAAGCTACCAATAGCTATGCTGGCATGCCATATCAGAACAATGGATCTGGACTAGCTTCCTGCTAATGCACCTGGGAAGGCAGCCTGCCACCCATATGAGACCAGAATGGAGTTCCTGACTCCTGGTTTAATGCTAGTCCAGATCCAGCTATTGCAGGCATTTAGTCAGTAAATCAGCATATAGAAGAGTCAGCCTGCCACTTTCTCTCTCACTATACCTAACCAAAAAAAAAAAAGAGATATTCTTCACATAAAGAAAACCACAAAACAAATATTAAATCACAAAGACTCCAAATATCTAAAACAATTCTTAGTAGAAAGAAAAAAGCTGGAAGTATTATAATACCTGACTTC